TAACTGTTTCATTTTTTTACACTTCTCTCTCGTAAAACTCTCTTCCTTTTCTTGCTTCCCAGTTAACCATGTCCTTCTTCATTCACGCTTTCTTAATTCATGTCTTTTTATTGCTCTCGGTCATTAATAATGTTTTATTATTATTATTATTATTATTATTATTATTATATTCTCTAACAAGTTGTAATCCCTCCTGCGTCTTAGTGGCTTAGTTGCCTTGCTTGCGTAGAATGATTAGAAAAAAACTATCGCTTGTGAATCAGCTAGTTATCTAGGAATATTTACAAAATATATGCACACCTAGCCAAATATGATATTAATAATTGTAAGCATATTATGGGGCTGCGAAAATTATTTTGAGAAGTACATATAATATCCACAATGATGGTGATTTTCTAGATGTGTCATCAGTTCGAATTTATGGGGACTTAGTGAGAGATCAAACTTACTACGCAGTAGTAATTGTTTTACTAAGACTAGTTTGCTAACCATTTACCACACGGAGTTGGCCAAATTGCTCTCTTCATCATGGGTCGATATATAAAAAATATAACTAACAGATAAAGGCTATTTGACAAAGATGTAGATTATTATGCTTTTCTACGCGTAGCTTCGATATTGCACAAGGTGGAGGGTAAAAAGCAACCAGTGAGGATCGAACTAACTAAGCAGTCGTGACCCCTAACTCGAGATAAGCTTATTAACCATTACAAGACGTCGAGGTGTAAGACTATTCCATTGTTATGATGGATCGAAATATAGAAATGTTTACAAAACACATGAAAAAAGAAAGTAGTTCCATTTATAGGGATGCGCATGCGTGGAATCGCAAAGCCGGTACGAAAGCTCTCACGACTTCGGGGTGGGGCTAGAATGTAGTTTTAAAATATTTTTGATGTCAACGCGTACGCCGATTAGGATGACCTGCAACCAAGGGTATCATGATTTTCATTTAATATTTCTTTTATTTACTGGCTGTCGTTTTGCAACCCTGAAAATACAATTCACAAATAGATTTAAGACTGCATTTGTGATGCTCCAAATTCGTCTTCAATTAATTCGTCTTCAATTAATTCATATTCTATATTCCACAGAAGAAAAGAACGTATCATAAATTGTTACTGATCACTTGATTAGAAATATATATATATATATATATATATATATATATATATATATATATATATACACTCACACACACGCATACACAGACATATATTTATACATATATATATATATATATATTATATACATATATATATATATATATATATATATATATATATGTATATATATATATATATATATATATATATATATATATATATATATATATATATATATATAACACACACACATACTTATATATATATATACACTCACACACACATATATGTGTGTGTGCAATTCACTGATTACGACAGACAAGGTATATATATATATATATATATATATAGTATGTATATAATATATAACATATATATATATATGTTATATACATACTATATATATATATATATATATATATATATATATATATATATATATAATATATATATATATAACACATATATATATATACACACACACACACACACACATATATATATATAAAAAAAAACATAAACAAAACTAGTAAAAGAATAACAGATAAATTAAAATCAGCGATAGAGTAGGTAAACTTACTGAAAAGAATGTTATATAACTCTTAAGGATCATAAGCCTGACTTTAGAACACCCTGCGACCAGAATAATTAACCTACCCGACCCGACATAGGAAAGATCAGCAAAAAGATCCTGGAAAATTACCTACCAAATAAAAAACAACTGAATTAAAACTATGGATCAATACCAAAGATGTTATCAATTGGTTTAACTATATTGATGATAAACGGAATTGCACCTTATACAGTTCGATATCGTGGACTACTACCCATCAATTTCAAAGGATTTATTTATGACTGCCCTGGACTTCGCTGCTGTGTATTCGAACCTAAAAAGGATGAAATGGATATAATCCTCAGCGCAAAGAAATCGTTCCTCGTTCACAATGGGGACCAATGGATAAAAAAACAATAACGACCTGTTTGACATCACTATGGATCGTTAGACTCTGCAGAGTCTTCTGACCTTGTTGGTCTCCTAATACTGTACAATTTAACGGCACACCGCGAAATTGATATTAAGGACATCGGGCTGTATAGAGACGACGGGCTCATGGTGGTGAGGAGTTCTACTAGTTTTAAGATTGAAAAAATCAGAAAAATTATATTTAGTGAATTTAAGAAACTAAACTTAAAGATAACTGTCTCTTCTAATTTGAAAAGGGTTAACTTCCTCGACGTAACTCTAGACTTACCAGACAATACATACCAACTTTATAGAAAACCAAATGCTAACCCTTTATACATACAACCGAAGTCAAACCATCCTCCATCAATAATTAAACATATACCCTCATCAATAGAAAATAGAATTAGCCTTAACTCCGCAAACAGGGAAATATTCCAAAAACATAATAGCTTCTACAACACTGCCCTAAAAAATAGTGGTTATAAAAATGCTAACATTAACTACAGAGAAAATTGCACCGGACATGGGAAAAAAACAGGAAAAGAAATATCATATGGTATACCTCCGTTCAACCAAAGGGTTAGTATTAAACTAGGACAGAAATTTTAGCTCTAATTAATAAACACTTCCCCACCAATAGTAAGCTTAGTAATATATTCAATAAGAACACCCTAAAATTGAGCTACAGCTGCTCTGATAATCTTGAACCCATAATAAAAAAACACAATAATAAGATCTTGAACAAACCCCATGCCAAAACAGTATTAATAAAAACTCTACACTTAAATCAGATGATAATAGGGAAAAAATTATGTAACTGTAGAAACCCAGAAGACTGCCCATTAGAAAATAAATGTTGTATTAACTCAGTGGTATACCAATGCACTATTTCATCCACAGAGAGCCCTAGCACTAATATGATATACATTGGGTCCACGAAGAATAATTTTAAAGATAGATGGAGGCAGCATAAATGCTCCTTTAATAATATAAACAAAAGAAACCAGACTTCACTATCAAAATATTTTTGGCACTTGAAGGAAACAAATAAGACACCAAAAGTTAAATGGAAAATTATTGACAAGGCTAGAATATGTAAGGCTTGGGATGACCCATGCCCTTTGTGCCTCCATGAAAAATTACACATTATTAAACTTCTAAATAATAATAATCTATTAAATAATAGACACGAGTTAACGGTTTTTTGTAGGCATCATCAGATTTTTGGTTTGAAATAAAAAAAAAAAAAAAAATTATATAACTTGTTTAACAAATAACCCAATCATCAGATTCATAGTAGAAATTATTAACTACAAACTTGCATACAACATAACACCCTTCATAACACATAGCCCAAATTAGTAGTTTAAATACCTTACCTAAAAGATAACCCTTTATGTAGTCGTCAAAAAAAACAAACGCCACGAAAGTTTTTTCTTTTTATAAGCACAATTCCCTTTCATAATAAAATAAAATAAAATAAATAAATAAATCTCCATAGACAAGCCAACTTGACGAAAGCTTAATACATCTTCGTTTTTTTTAACACCCCACCTTCCCCCGACTTGACACCTTGAAAGTATCTCTATACCGCCACTCATCATTAACACCCTACACTCGCCTACCCATTTTAGACAATTCGCCCTAACTGTTACCATGGTGATTTTGATTTCAACTTTTAAAACAAGTAAATTTCAGATATACGTTATTCCAACAAAAATTCGCTTGAAGATGGAACGGAGCCCTTTTTAATTTCAACTCAATTTAATTTAAAGGATTATATTGAAGTTTTCGGCTCTTGTTTTGAAACATGAGACCTCTTATGTAGCGATTTGGAATCATATTTTTAAATAAATAATTATATTTATGCTCTACTTTTTGTATCGAGCACTATTTTTAAAAAATAATAACAAAAATACTAAGGAACTTTGGACTATTTACCAGTTCCTTCCTATTTATATATATTTTCCATATTATATATATATATATATATATATATATATATATATATATTATATATAGCGCAATTCACTGATTATGAGAGACAAGGTACTTTGCATTAGCTTTTTTATACAATTTCCATGTGATCTATAATTATTTTTCTTTTCAGATGACAGATTATATAAAAACTGTCCGAATGTTCTTTTTTTTTCGAACGCTTTCGCTTATACATTTAGCCATTTTCAAGGATGCAGCTCTATTAGAACCGATTTCTACACGCACCCAAACTTACCAGACTCCATCCAAAACATACTAGTAGAATATACAAACGTAATAACCTCATCCACCTGTATTTTTTTTAAAAATAATGGAAGCCTTAATAATAAAAATGAAAATGACAACACTTAATAATATTAACTACGAACACGGCCAAAAGGTGCTAAATGTGTTCGGAACAAAAAAGCGCTCGAAATTACAGAACATTTGTTCAGCAGGGGAGGACATATTCTTCGGCATGATAATCCAGGAATATACTTTTCAAAAAACAAACACAAGATCTTTACGAATTGAAGTTCTTTCACCAATTCCATATACACCATCTTCAACAGTTGTTTTTATATATTTCGATCGCTAGAACATTTCATATGTGGTAGAACGTTCAGAAATAAATAACTGGAAAACAGTCTTCCAAATATTTTTCGTTTATATTACTTTTAAGAATTCCTCCCCTTCGTCTTTTACGAGGCCTGACCCTTCCAGGAAGTTGGCAACCATGACTCTCAACAACTTTCATTTCTTTGTAGTTCTTACTAAATTTTGTATTTGTGTTATCTCTCCTGAACTCTGTTCCGTCAATTATCTACAAAAGCATGTTAAATATGCTAAGCGCTGTTTCCCTCTGTCAATATTTCCTGTGAGTATGCAACATAAACTAAGCCCTATTTCCTCATTGTGTGACTTTGAGGTTTCTCTGCTGTCTTTTTCTGATGTTAAATACAAGCGTCCATTTTATTTTTCCTATCTCTAAAACATCGTCTATTCATTTTCTATCTATCTATCTATCTATCTATCTATCTATCTATCTATCTATCTATCTATCTATCTATCCATTCTTTTTCATTTTCTATCTGTCTGTCTGTCTATCTATCATTATTCATCTATTTAGACCATCTTTTCATTTTCTCTCTCTATCTATCTATCTATCTATCTATCTATTCATCTATCTATCTATCTATCCCAGTCTGTTCATGTTGTCTCTCTCTCTCTCTCTCTCTCTCTCTATCTATCTATCTATCTATCTATCTATCATCTATCTATCCCAGTCTGTTCATTTCTCTCTCTCTCTCATCTATCTATTATCATCTATCTATCTGTTCATTCTATCTATCTATCTATTACAGTATGTTCATTTTTCTCATCTATCTATCTATCTATCTATCTATCTATCTATCTATCTATCTATCTATCTATCTATCTATCTAAGCTTGGTCAATTTCCATTATTAATCTCCTTTCGAAACAACGGGTTGTTTTTTGACAGACTTCTCTCCTGGTTAAGGTAGACAATTTCCGTTCTCCTAGCTCATGTGAATTGGGTAAATCGTCGCTGCTCACATGTTTAATGTACAGTATTCTCAACATCCTGCTGTACAATTACATTTCTATTGCTTATAGTATTAAAGAAATATAATCCACATTGCTTACTATATGAATTCCGAAAGGCCACTACAATTACAGGGGAGTTTAAAATATTTATGAAAATACAATGAACGTTCGTATATTTCATCTCTGTTTTTATAAAATTTAAAATAGAATATCGATTGAGACATATCCGACAAATAATACATTGGAATATTTGGTAATTATGAATTTTGTAAATAAAAAAATATTGAATTTTATTCACGTTAACCCACAAGAAATTTGGCGAAAAAAAAGGTCATTTTCAACTGACCACGAACATCTAAATCAAATTTGGAAAACAGGGAAAATGCATTCCTCATGAGCTTTCACTTGAGAACTGAACAGGTTTCCACTATCTGCAGCGTTCTTTTAAACAAGCATCGCAACCATTTATTTTTGAATGGCATTGTTACATTTAATAATTTTAGCGGTTCGTGAGAACAGGGAACGAAAATGACACAGATTAGGACATGAAAAAGCCAGTGTTAGCACCAAGGCAATAAGTCCATCCACAGATAAAATTACTTTATGACTGGTGGAATATGTAAAGTGTCGCCCATCACGGTCTAGTGAGAAATGGAAAGACAATCATTGTAAATGATAACTGCCATCTAATAGTTTAACGTAGGCATTGCAGTGGAATTGTCTTGGTTTGTTCAGCAGAGGAGGACATATTCGCCGGCATGATAATTCAAAAATATTACTTTTCAAAAAATAAACACAAGATCTTTACGAATTGAAGTTCTTTCACCAACTCTATATTCACCATCTTCAACATTTGTTTGTCTTTATTTCGATCGCTAGAACATTTCATACGTGGTAGAACGTTCAGAAATAAAAAACAAAGTGGAAAACAGTCTTCCAAATGTTTTCCGGAGTAAAAGTAAAAATGAATAAAAGCAATGTTTAAACTCGAAATCTGAAATGTGTCTTCCCATTGTGTGGCAACTGTTGAAATGTAGGTGATTATATTATTTAATGAATAATAAACGTCGATGTATAGTTAGTGAAATGATTAACGACCCCGAATTGGAACTGGAAGAGCCGAGTTCTAATTCCATTCGGGGTTCGTTATATTCACTTACATGCAAATTTCCATGGGATAGGTATGAATGCATCACTTCTCGCCCCGGTATATGGGATTAATAGTTGAACTTGTATCAGTAAATCATTATAAAACTAAAAGACCGAGGGAAAATACGTCACGTCGGTTAGAAAGTAACTGAAGTCGAGATGCTCTGTCAGGATCGATTTCATTACAAATCCTTCTTTGGATTTTGTCTATCATCTAGTGATGAATAGCAAGAGCACCAGACAAGATATGACAGCAGGATTCAAGGCACGGGCGAGTGGTAGATTTGTAAATGTGAGCGAAGTTTCTGCCAAGACACGATAACTTTTGTAATTTTGTCCGAAGTGTTTATTGAAAATGATAGCTAGAACAGCAATTTACAAAATATAAGTGTTTATTTTAAACAAGAATAATACAAGTGGATATTTACGCCTGAAGATGGAAAACAAGCCGGTATTCATCCGTCCTCCTGATGAGTAAAGATGTGGCACAAGGCTGACTTTTATGTGGGGCGATCCCAGCCCGTAGGCTCGGTTAAAAATTTTCCAAAGGCCCTGCATACACCGGGACGGGTATGTCAACTTGCTCGAGACTCTGCCCTTCGGGTTCTTGTCTGGGTGGCTCTTTTCCCGAAGGCGGAGAGTTCGTCGTCTTGATACTTGCTGGAAAGCAACCCCGACCCCCGAGAGCAGCACATTAGATAATTATATTACTAATGGAACAGTCCATTTAATAGAGGTGTATATATTCTTTGTATACTGAAGGTCACCAGTTCGTTCCCTAACCCCACACCTCGAGAATTAAATTTAAAGCAAAGATTTCGATGTCTTGGTGAAAGGATCAAACGTATCTGGAAATCAAGATCCACCTCCCGAGACCAACACGTGCATATATTCCTTCTGGGACAATCCATTTTGATAGACGTGTATTAGTTCTTTGTATACTGAGGGTTATCAGTTCGTTCCCTACAAAAATGACACAAATTTCCTTGCAGTAGATGCAGCAATTGATTCGATGTACTTCTTCCTCTACAAATCAGTTTAAAAATTGAGGCCATGAATGCACAGAGTGTTGCTATCCAGGAGTGTAGCGTCAGCTGATGGCAGACAGAATAAAAAGTTTTTTCTCTTATGGATAAATAAGGGAAGATTTGTTTCTAATAAATAATTATTTATTATAGTAGATAATTTTATTTTTCGAAGGGTTGGACGGTTCCTTCTAACATCAGTTATGTTTATTTTTGCTTTGTTTTGATATTTAGTTTGCTTTGGAGTTCACCCCTCCACTTTCATGATCATTCATTCATTTGTATATATATATATATATATATATATATATATATATATATATATATATATATATATATATATATATATATATATATATATATATATATATATATATATATATATATATATATATATATATATATATATATATATATATATATATATATATATATATATATATATATATATATATATATATATATATTGATTTTTGTTTCTCTCTTTTTTCCTCTTCATTTTCGATCTTGTTCTTTTCGTTTAATTTACTTTTTTCCAACGATTTTCTCCTGATGAGATGCTGGTTGAAAGGGCTTTAGGGACTATTACCATTAATAAATTCCATGTTTTTAAAGCAGCATATATATATATATATATATATATATATATATATATATATATATATATATATATATATATAAATTTAAATAATATTTATTATCTCATTGGGATGTTTAGTGCCCCCCACCCCGGAGAGGATGTGGTATTATGCTGTATGGAGCATTGACTGAAGACGGATGAATTTTTATGGTGAATGAAGCAATTTTAATGAGTGAATGGGTCGTGAATCCGATTAGCTAGGTATAAGATAATTAGTGAAATTAGGGAAGACCAGCCTCAATCCATTCCCCCTTTTCGGCCTTGTGCCATAATTGTATTAATTTACAATATATCTCAATAAATAATTCTTTTAATTGATATGTTGGAACAATGTGTACATCATCGCTTTGGTAACTCTTTCATTTCGTTCCTCTATTTAGCTGTACAGATGATCGTGAAGTCGATATGAGTTATCTAATATAACCAATTGAGCAAACGATGTTACGGTTAGCTTTTATCGTTCAAGTTTTTAGCTTCGTGGGCAAAGGCTTCTATATCCTCAATTCGCCCTTCGTCATCTTCGTATTCTTTAGATGTTTAATTAGCGATCGTTTGTTTTGTGTAGCTTCCAAACCTCTTAATAGAAGAGTCAATGTAATGTTTACCTCTTCTCCTTTAAACCTTTTCTATTTCCATGCAACATTCTCTCTCGAGCGGTCATTAACATCTTTCTATTGTAATCCCAACTTAACAATTCTCCTTTTATCATTTCTCGAAATGATCCCGGGCACCTCCCAATAGACAAGGACCGGACATGTGTTTCATTGATCATGTTCCAGCTACTTAGTTCATTTAATAAATTTTACAGTTCTTCTGGGGGGGTATGTGCTTTGCAAAAATATTCTTTCGATTAACCCAGCGAAATGTTTACTTCTTTCCAAAAATTCTATTACTTTGGTTCTTGTTTCGCGTCTGGTATTATTCTTGGATACATTCCTTCTGTTGTTTCAATTTTTACTTCATGTATTAATTAATGTTTCATATCTCACACATTCGACCTTAACTCCAATATATCCTGAATCTCCTTTATTTATAAACTGTTATTCTTATAGTGGTAAGAGGCTACTGAAAAGGAACAATTCCCGCTCCACAGCGACCTTCATTTTTAAACACTTATTCTTTCATATAGTGCTAAGAGACCACTGAAAGAGAACAATTCCTGCTCCCTATATATACCGATATATATATATATATATATATATATATATATATATATATATATATATATATATATATATATGAACTGTTATTAATTCTTGGAGTGGTAAGAGACCCCTGAAAGTGAACAATTAATTACCGCTCCTCAGCCACCTATACATTTAAAATTTTATTATTTCTTATAGTGGTAAGAGTCCACTGAAAGTGAACAATTACCGCTCCCCAATCACATCTATTTATAAACTGTTATTTTTCCTTATAGTGGTAAATTTCCACTGAAAGGAAACATTACTCGCTCCCTAGCCACCTATATTTTTAAACTGTATTTTTTCTTATACTGGTAAGTGTCCACTAAAATTGAACAATTCTCGTTCCACAGTCACGTACATTTTCATAGCCTTTACGATTAAGAGAATTCAGGTATTATATCCTTCAAATTAAAATTTTACCACGACTTCTTCTTTCTTTCAAGTTATACGTCACAAACATCATTACACATTTTAACATTTACCCTCTTTTTGAATGGTTCTCGGATTTGTATTGGATGAGTTATAGCATGAAAAAAAAAAAAAAACAAAGAATAAATCATTGATTGCTTATTTGTTTGTTTAGTGGCGTATCAACTTCGAAATTTAATTTTCTTCTGAGTATTAGTAATTTTTATTATTGCTGGTAATATTTTTTAAATATTTAATGCTGGTATGTTTTTTTTTGTTTTTAATTTTTCAAAAACATATTGATGGTAATTTTTTTCCAAGAAATGTATTGCAGGAAATATTTTTATCTAAGACTACTTGTTGGTAATTTTTTTTTCGAAAACGTATGGCTGGTAATTTTTTTTTTTTTTCAAAAATGTATTGGTGGTTATTTTTTTTTTTTTTTAATTTTTTCAAGAATGTAGTGCCGGTTAT